AAATGAGTACTGTCTGACAACTTTTGCACACCAGTGCATAACCCTCAAATATATGAAAGACAGAGAGGGATAATTAAGATATTTAAATATTTAATTAAACAATGAAAGATTTCCCAAATAATGAAATAAATGAGGGGAGTGGATAAGGAAACATGGACAAATGTAAAAAGCTAATTGTACCTGCTCGTGGTGCTCAATGCCCATGCTGATGGTGTTGATCAAAATGGCGATCATGATGCCTCGGTTAAAATACTTGCTCTCCACGATGCCCCACAGTTTCATCCTGATCTCGTACCACAGCTCCTTGCATCCCTTCTTCGGACTACAACAGGACTCTGCACCTTCATGGCCTTGTTTGTCCTTCCCTTTAGTACCGGACTGTACACCATCCCTGTCTGATTCCTCCACAGTTCCCTCTTCTGTTTCGTCACTCGCTGCATTTCGAACTGGTCCCACCCCGTCAGAGAGCGCCAGCGCTGCCGCGCACTGAGGGCAGCCGTCTGTGGCAGAGGCAGCAGTGAGGGCCACGGGCTCAGCGGATGAGGCATGGCCTAGTTTGTTGTGATGGGGACATGGCGGGCCTTACAAAATGCAAGATGGAGAGATTAAAGGCTGATCATATAAATCAAATAGATAAATACTACTTTCTTACAGTTACGTACCATGTCTTAACCCCGCTCTTCTGTCACGTCCTTCACGTCCATTGGCCTTCCTCTCCCTTCCTTCCCCGCCTCCTCTTCCTCTTCCAACACCATGAAAGCCACGAGGTTTCCCCCGGAGGGTGTTAAAAAGGGCAACAGTTTGCCTCCTTGCCTTTCGGAGGAAATGGCAGACCAGCTGGAAGAGCTCTTCGTAGCAGTCCCCAGGTTCACTGGCCAGGGTGGAGGAGGATGAACACCGAGCTCGCTGCTCCTGCATCAGCTGATGCTCCCGCTGCTTGGTCTCTGAGAACTGGGTGGCAATGACCACGAGGCACAGGTTGATCATGAAGAAGGAACCGACCTGGGAGGATGACAGGCATGCGCACATCACATAAACAAAATTTAAAGCTGCGTGTTGCTTGACTGTCACGCGCTCCTCCCCACGCCGCCCAGTGCTGAAAAAGTGTTTACTTGTGAGAATCCAAACTAATGAGATGTAATTATTTTCACAGGGCTTTTGTCTGTTTATCCGTAATAAAAGAACCCTTTTAAAGGCCTATTATTAATCCTAAAACACTCCCATCCAATAAAAAGGTAATAAATCATTCTTAAATATAATGATCTGCAACAGTTGGAAGCTCCAGCATGAAACTGGAGAGCCCCAATTTGGTCTGTTAGTCGACAGCTTCTGCCAGCTAATAACGCTGAATACAAAACTCTCAGCATGATGGCCTTATGCCAGAGCAGTGTAGTTCTTACCTCTAGCTTGTTAGTCCACTTGGCTGGACAACTCCAGACATAACACATTATACAATATGTTCACAAACAAATCTGCTCCAGCGCCATCCTGAAAATACTTCTTTTTTTCCAGCATTTTAGTATTACAACCAGCAAACCAAGCAATGACTAAGAGAGGAGAGCTAACATATTAGGTGGCTTGATGCTGTTGTAGCTGCAATAATTAGCAACTTTCTTTTAGAAAAACCTATGATCACATGAGACGAGCATTATCTATCTATCTTTAGGTTTTACAACACTGATTTGTTGAGAACAAAAACTACAATTACACAGTATCTTATCCTTTTTCACCCTAAGGCATGAAAATGACAACAACATTCTGGTAATGCTGATACTTTAGTCATATAAACATGTAATTATTACAACTATTAAACACCATCATCACCATCACTG